GGTGGTGGGGCTTGAGTCGGGAGTGGGGGATGCTGTGGGGGATCGTGGGCGGATGTGGGGGGGTGGTGGAGTGTGGCCAGCGCTGTCTGGGAGGATCTGCAGGTAGGTGGGAGGATCCGTCTTGTCCAGCCGGTTTCGTCTCGCCACCACTATTTCCAGTGGAGGTCTCGGTTGTCATCAAGCCTCGCCAGCTTGCGCGACGCGTTCAGCCATTCCAGCTCAAACTTAAGGATTCATTGCCTTTTCTTAGTGTCGTCAGTCATGGTTTTCAGAGATTCTTTGAGGTTTTCCGATGCCTGATGAATGTTTGCACAAATTGTATCTATGAATCTATGATGTGAGCTCTGGCTTGTGGGAAGCCAAAAGTGTGTTGTCTTCGTTCGTGAGAACACCGGGCTCGCCAAGCCGTCATCAGAACTTCCAGGCGAGTATACTTGAAGAGGGTAGATTGAGAAGAGGACCATGTGTGCTGGGTAGGTGTGGGTAGGTCCATTAACAACGTCTCAAGGTTCCATGGGGGAGGTCCATGCCTGTGAGGTGCCTCCACGCAGCGTCCCACCACCACCAGATCTGGTTGACCATGGGGCAGTCCAGGAGGCAATGCTCCAGATCTGCCCACAACTTTTGCGTGGATAGCCCACAGAAGCTACAGAGGGGGGATGCAATGCCCTTTTGTTCAAGTGAGGATCTTGACACAAACCAGTCCGGGGTCGGGAGGCACCGATACACAATTTTCCATTGCAGCGCCCTCTGGGAGGTAGGCATTATGCACGTGTAATGAGACCAGCGGAAGTTGCGAAGGGAGTCTGCGGGTACTGCGGAGTCCCTCTGCCAACGGTTTTTTACAATGTTTGTAGTATCGACTGTCTTATGCACCTTTCTGTAGCAGTCTTTGACCGTAAATTTCCACAGTGGGAGCGTGTCCGTTCGCCCCATTGCCATTCGTCTGGGTCAAACGGGAGAGCAGATATGGGGGTGGAGGCTTCATAAGCCCACCATCCCTCTTTTTTGTCTCCCTGTGTCCAAACTCTTGTGAGGCCAGGACCATTGTGCACCATATCCGGGTGGGCATTTCTGGTGAGACGGGATATGCGAGCTCCCAGAAGGGTTGGCTCACAGGCTTCCAGAGATGTTTCGGACTCTGTGCAGGTATTCACCTGGTAAACGACCATGGGGAGAGGCAGGGTGGTCATCTCTACCACCCAGTCCCCTGGTTGAATGGATGGACCTTTCCTCAAGACATCGGCCCAGGTAGTTGGTATGGCTGACAACAGTTCTTGCAGTTTTGTCTCCACGTTTTTTATATGGTGGAGTCTGGGCTTCATTTGGTCCATGGTCAATGGAAGACCACAGTGGGACCCTTCCTTCTGTCTGGAAGTCTGGGATAACTTGATTTTTTTTAATTTCTTTTTTGGACCATCTCTCGATTTATGCATGTCATCCTTGCACAGAGGCCATGCTAATCTATCTTCTCTATATCGTCCAATTTTTTTATGGATGTCACGGGGCCGTGTCCCACTTGCACCGTTGAGTAAGTTCAACGCTGAGCTTTCTATCACATGTGACCTGGGGCAACCCAGGAGATGAGTTCTCTTACCGTCCATCGGGCGGTCCGATTTTCAGAAAAAAGGAAAACGAAAGTTGGATTCCTTTTTTTAGCAGGATAATGGAACGAAAATCGCTCCTCCCGAATACAACGCCCCCTACCCTAGCCCGCTTCCGTTGAATGGAAGCGGGGTAGCTAGCTCAACGGTGTGAGCCAGGCTGCCTCACTCGCTGTCATCATTGTCTGACACCTTGTCATCCGTGATTTCCGTTTGTCATGATTCCCCATCGTGTATCTCTCATCCACAGGGTCTGTGCCAATAAGCTTCTTCGGGCTGTATCTCGTGCAGGGATGTGGTTACATACATCGTGAATAAAACTTCCCACAAGGGAGGTTTCTCTTGTTTTCTTTAGTAGGAATCTACGGTTCCACCCTCTGACCCTGTGGCCTTCCCTGAGCTTGGGGATCGCGGGGTCCGAGTTGTGAGGTCTGCCACTGCTCAGACTCCGCAAATCCCTCACATTGGGTTCCGAAAAGCCATACGCTGACAAATAATATATTGTTTTTTCTTTTTTCAAGTTTTTTGGACACGGAGGAAATTGTCAAAACAGCTATTTAAAAATCACTTTCCACATTTTCAATGAATTATGAAAGGCCCAATTGAGTGTCACACCGTTGAGCTAGCTCAACTCAACAGTGCAAGTGGGACATGGCCCCCGATGGACAAACTTGATTTCAGAAATGGCACACAAATGAACAGATGGTCCAATTCTTTTTAATTTCTTTCGAGGAAGGGGGTGTACGTCTGTCTGCTCTGTGTGATCTTGGTAACTGAGGATGTGCTCACACTGGGACTTCCGTGCCTGGATGCACCTGACCCCAATTACGTCCACAGAGAAGATGAAAAGGATCTCCTGTGACTATGTCCTGAGTCCTTGACTATGTGGAAGACAACGAAAAGAGAGTCCAGGGCCGAGGTCCCACTAGCAAAGAGGATAGGATAAAGCTCCTGAATCTGGATGTGTTTTACGCAGAAATGCAGAAAAGCAGTTCAATCTCGATTTCCTTCACCTCTCCACAAACACGTCCAGATTCAGGCATTTGATCAGATCCTCTTTGCTAGTGGGACCACGCCCCAGTAGGAGGCCTCGCCTGGTTAAACTCTGAAATTCCGGACTATGGGCCTCGCCACACCACTCTCGAAATGTGAAAAAGACAAAAATTTGGCGCACGCATCTGGCCATGTTCTAGCGGCAAGTTCATTTTCATTTTCCACATTTCAAGAGTCGTGTGGCGACGTCCTATATTGCCCTTCCCGATAATTATTATCCGTTAAAATTGGATCGATGTGGAGAAGATTACTACCTGTGAACGAGGGGGACAAAAAAAAAAAGTAGGAACACCAAGTTTGAAATTCCAGATGATAACCAACGGGCCTAGCTCAGTTTTTTTTTTTTTTTTTTTTTTTTTTTTTGAAAATCGAGTTGTATTCCAAGATTAAAGGTTCGCGGCCGGGGACCTCACAATTCAACCCGGAGTTATCCCAGCAGCATCAGCCAGTTTAGCTTACAGTCATAAGACTGAACAGAAACCTGCGTTAAAGCCTCATTCAAATGATAATGTCTGATGATGTCGAGTTGTGTAGGACACAAGCCTATTACAGAGGTTCGCTCGTCATTGTTCTCTGGGTTGTCTCAACTCATTACCCACTAATATTGTACTGCCACTAAGCTACAGCCACTCTACTTATCCTACCCTGACCTAACCTCTAAACCTACTTAGGCAGCTGACTGATCTACCTTGGCTTACACAGGCCTAAAAACGGCCTGAACTCGACTTAGTACAGCCGCGAGGAGTCGTTACAGGCTCCTAATCTAAGTCCTGGACACTCTCCTACCCTCCCCGTCCTATGTAGCCTACTGCGGCTGTCTACTTGAACCGAGCGCCCTGGTTCACGCGAGGAGCGGGAGGATTGGGCAGAGGTGGAGTGTGGGGAAAGAGGGAGGGGGGAAGGGGGGGAGAGAGAGAGAGAGAGAGAGAGAGAGAGAGAGAGAGAGAGAGAGAGAGAGAGAGAGAGAGAGAGTGTGAGGCTGCGCGTCAGGGCGGGGGCCATTTTCCGGGGGGGGGGGGGGGGGGGGGGGTGTGGATGTGTAGTCAGGTGTTGGTGTCAGGTCTGCGAGGTCAGAGAGAATGGAGGGGAGAGGGGGGGAGGGGAGAAGACTGCAAGGGTGATGATTCACTTGAGGAGCCAGGGGGAGATAGCCATATTGCCTTCGTGGGTGACTGCCGCCAGTTGGTTATCTCTGGCCCAGGTAACCAGGAACCAGTGCCTGCCTCTGATAGATTTCCCCTTTGCGGCTTTCCTGTGCCAATCGACCCGGATCATTGCTCTGATCCACGCTTTGATCTTGGCGATTAGGGTGGCATCTGCATTCCACTGCTGCCTAAAGAGAATGCTGTTGCGGTCTTCCCAGCTTGTCCAGATTATGATAGCTCGAATGGCCTGAGCTACATAGCCTCGCCCAGTGAGCTTGAACCATGAACCCGGGATGCGGCCCCAGAGTGCCCATGACTCGTCCCAGGGCAGCAGGGGACCCACAAATCTGAGCCAGTGCTGTTCCCACCACCTCCATATGCGCTTAGATGCTGGGCAGGCCCAGAAGAGGTGTATGAGAGTCTCTTCCTCCTTGCTGCCACAACGCTTGCACTTTGTTTCGATCTCCATACCCCTTTCGAAGAGCCACACAGAACAGGGTACAGCGTTATGTGAGAGGAGCCAAAGGAGACCTGCAAGCTTTAGAGAGGGCAGTGCTGGTAGCTGCGCCCAGAGTGTTCGGAGCTGTTCCTCCGTAACTAGGTGGTTCTGCGGTACCTGCCTGTTCAAAAGTGCAGCTGTTGCGGCCGGGAGATCTTCATCCTTCGCGAGCAGTGTTCTGCCCAGGGAGGTATGGTACTAGTGCAGGAGGAAACGACGCCCTGGTGCTGGCTCCCAGTAGTGGCCTTGTGGATCAATGCAGAGTTGCTGCAGGGGAATGCTGCCTGCCAGCAGCTCGTGGGTAGTAGTTCCCATGGCTGTATTGGTGTGGACTCGTACCAACTGCAGATCCTGGGCTGTAGAGACGTTGGTATCTCCTCGGCACCGAAGTCGTGCTGGGTGCTTCTGATCAGTTTGCAGCTCCCATTCCTGGGCTAGCGATGTGTCCTCGTCAAGCTGTTCTTGAATCCGTACCATGAGCTTGTCATCTGCATCGGTGGCATCCCGGTACCACTCCCCTACAGTTGGTGCAGATGTGTGGAGGAGCTCGACCCAGTGAGCTGGGATGGCTGAGATTAGTTGCTTGGTTCGCTCTGGGATTAGTTGCAGCCTGCCCAGCTTCTGTTTGATGACGTCGGTGCAGTACCAGTCCTGGGCTTCCTCATTCCAGAGGTCTTGTATCTTCAGCAGCCCTCTCTCTGTCCATCGTCTACCAAAGGCACCTGGGGTTGCTGTGGCAGCAAAGGGATCCCCATGCTCGTTTCGGATATCTGCATTGTCGAACAGCAGCTGCTTTAGGACCTCAAATGACCTCAAAAGACCTCAAATGTTCTCAATGATCTGTATAATTCGTTATGGGACGCTGGGCCTGGTTCCCAGCACGTGCTGCTCCCCACGAATAGACTGGAGCATTTGTTCAAAAAAAAAAAAAAAAAAAAAAAAAAAAAAAAAAAAGGGACCTCAACCTTGGTGGTTGGCTGCTTCGTGTGGGGGGGAGCGAGTGCTCGCCACGCAGTCCAGCAGGCGCCTGCCACCTGAGAATGCAGTTGTCTGCGCTGGTAGGAGGCCATGAACACAACTGACCACACATCATGTTTCCTTGCGAGCGAGAATTCCTGCTGCAGCAGGTACTCCAAGATCGGTTGCCAGATTCTGTGTTCTGACTGTGTGGCGGCTCTACGGAGCCACTTAGTAAGAAGTGCCTGGTTCTGTCTGTAGGGGCCGATAACTCCCAGACCCCCATGTCGCTTGCTGGAGGTGACTTTCGACCAGGCACATTTTGATATGAAGCGTTGCCCCTCCTGGGCTGATGGTTTCCAAAGGTACCTTGCAGCGTCCGAGGTAGTCTGCTTGGCTGTTGGCTTGGTGAGAAGACAGACAGCTGCCACGTGCCAAATCTGCGCAAAGACCACTGAGGTAAGGAGGAGAGCTCTTCCGAATAGGGAGATTCCCACAGCTACCTGGCATCTCTGTATGCTGTCCTTTGTTTTAGAGCGGAGGATGGCTTGTTGTTTTGGCTTTGCGGTTACCAGGGATACTTGCATACCTAAGTATCGTTCCGATACCTCCGGGGAGATACGCTTCATACCCCAGTCAAAACCTGGCAAGTTGTAGTCGGCTGGGAGAAGATAGATAGATTTCTCCCAGTTGACTTGGGCTTCAGAAAGCTGTGCATAATTGTCCAGAAGTGTCTTGGCCTCTTGCGTAGATTCTGGGACGGCTTCGATGGAGAGCAGCACGTCGTCAACAATGGCGCCAGTTAGCATAACCTCTCCGTCTCCGAGGTCAAGCCCCCGGATTAGTGGGGACGCACGCAGCGCGTTGAGGAGTGTTTCCATCTGCAGGGCGAATAATAGTGATGCAAGAGGACAGCCCTGGCATAGCGAGCGTGTGAGTGTGAAGGTCTGAGAGAGAAAACCATTGACATTGACGGTTGCTGTTGAATCTGCATAAGAGTTCGCGGACCCAGTGTATGAACTTCAGGTCGAACCCCATGTGTTCGAGTGTGGCGAAGACGAATTATGACCAGTTGACTCGGTCATAAGCCTTCTCCAAGTCGAGCATTGTGATCATTACCTGTCGATTTTCTCGCTGTATGATCTCCAACTCTACCACGGCCATGAGCATATTCTCGGCGATGGATCTGCCCAGCACGAACCCACCCTGGTCTGTATGCACCAGGGCTGGCAGGTATGGAGCAAGTCTTCTGGCGAGGAGCTTGGCCAGTATTTTGTATGATACGTTCATGCGGGAGATCGGACGCCAGTTCCGAACATTGCGTTTATCTCCCTTCTTGTAGATCAGAGTGATGATTCCAAGCTTCATATCAGTGGTCAAGGTGCCGCCTTGCCAGAGTCTGTTGTAGCTGTCAAGCAAGATTGGGCCAGTGCAGTCCCAGGTTGCTTCGTAGAACTCCACCGGGAGTCCATCCGAGCCTGGGCTTTTACCTTTTGCCATGCTCTTGACTGTCTGGTGGAGCTCGTGTAGTGTGAGCGGCTGTTCGAGATGCAGGCTGGCTGTGTTCGGTAACCTGACTTGTGTATGCTGCCAGATGTCGTGCTCCACCTTCAAGTGGTCTAATGAGAGATCTGGTTGTCTTCTAGCGGTAAGTACGTCCGTAAAATAGGTGAGAGCATATTCACCTATTTTAGTTGAATTTTTCGCTGGTTCCGCCTCCTGAAAGAAGGGGTGATGCATCTCTCTCATGAGAGTATGTGCTCTTGGTGGACAGACACGTTGGAAGGTTTCTTTTTTCATTCGGTCTCCGGTTGCCATACCCCTCTCCTGCGCTCTGCTGGCCCAAAGAACCTGCTGTGCCACTTGGATATCCTCTAGCTTTTGCAGTCCTTTGTCCCTCCGGTGCTGCCAGCACAGTTCCGCTAAAGGTTTCTTGTCCAGCTCCTCCTCGGCCTCTGCTATCATGGCTCTGCATGCTTCCTCTTATTGCTTTCTCCCTCTAGCTTTAACCCTTGAAAAGACATCCAGCGCTCGTGTGACGATCCTAAATCCCATTTGGAGCCAGTCTTCTTCGGTGCTGAAGTCACCCTTCGTATGTTGCTAGCTGGTCCAGTGTGCTGCCACCCATTTCAGGACTTCCAGATCTTTCAGCAGTTCGGTGTTTACCTGAAAAGTACCTGGCCCTCTGACCATCTGGTCTGCCAGATCAAAGCTGGCTATCAGTGGTCGGTGGTCTGAGATCGACTCAATGGTCTGATCGACATCGGTGAGCGCCTCCCATGCTGCACCGAAGGCTAGAACGAGGTCCAACCTTCGCTTCAAGGGGGGGTGATCTCCTGTCCTTTGCGAGGAGAACCAAGGATAACCTGATTCCATGGGGTGGGTGGTTGACCGTGGTTCTGTAGGTGTCCACCAGGTTCCGCTCCCCAATGAAGCTTGCTAGCATGACTGCGTCGGTCTTTCTTGGTGTGACCTCTTGAGAGTCCAGACCTGCTGTAACCGTGTAAGGACCACGTTGAAGTACCCGGCGAGGACCAGGTTGTCTGAAGGTGGAACAATTGCTGGCAGCTCTTCCAAAAAAGAGCGGCGTTCGGCAGGCTCTGAAGGAGCATATATGGACACCAAGGTCCATTATTCCGTTCCCAGGCGGATTCTGCACCAAGCCCAGTGGCCCCAGATGTCTGCATCTTGCTCCAGCAGGTCGAAGTCGAGGCCTCTGTGGAATAGGATAGCACATCCTCCTTTGGTACCGTCTGCGGGGGCCCAAATTTGCGGGCCTCTCCACCATCCGTTGAGCTGCTCAATTTTGCCTTCGTCAAGCTTAGTTTTCTGCAGCATGAGAACTTGAACTTTCTGATCATGCATCCAGGTTTTGAGCCTGGCTTTCTTGAAGCGTCTTGTCGATTCTCCAAGTCCTCGCACGTTCCACGTCCCTAGCTTAAGATAAGTCATTTTGGGGGGCTGCGGCGGTGGGGTTTTGGATCCGCTGAGAGTCTTCGTTTTGCTGTCTTCCGGGTCTCAATCTTCCAGCTGCAGCTGTTTCCACTGTGCTGGCCCATGGTGCCAGAAGGAGGTTTCTAAAGCCTGGCAGATGAGGCTGCTTGTCTGTTGCCAGGGTCAAGCAGAATTCGGCGACGAGCTTCGCGTTGATGTCATCTGTTAAAAAGGTCTCTTGCAGCTCCTCGGTCGTGGTGGCCGCTAGCCAAGTGGAGGGGAGCCAGACAATGTTCTACGTGGCAAGCAACGCCGCTGTATCCAGGTTTATCTTCACTTCGACGACCCCGATAGAGAAATGCCAGCTTCCACCGTTCGCTGCTGCAACTGTCTTTCTGCCGATGCAGATCCCTGGGATGAGCCTGAAGGGGAAGCGGTCAGCGATGAACGTGGCTGTCGCTGCTCTGATTGCTTCTTTCGTGGTTGGAGATGCGCTTACCGCCACTGTTGGGATCACTAGCAGTCCTCTTTCTGTTCTCCTGGCCATGAGTTTGGTACCTTGGGGTGACAGCATAAAGCACAGGATAACGAGTTGATGTCTGACTACACCAGTGTTGAGGCTACCACCAGACGGTTGGTTGGGCAGCCCGGAATGCTGGGCTGCTGCAGGGAGAGACCCTGTTTGAATTGACAGCGGGGAGGCGGACACTCTGGTAAAGGGGATGGAGAAGAAATCAAGTTCTCCTTCCTCCTCTTCTTGTGTGATTTGGCCTTCCCCGTCCTCGTTGATCCTGCGCTGCTTCACTGGCGTACGGAGTACCTATCTTGAATCTCGCATAGTGGTGTCTGGAAGTGGTCCTCTGGTGTCCTCCGTGTCTCCAGCTCTGGATTTGCTGGTCGCACCTGTGTGACTTGACCTCTGCAGGTTAGCCTGTTCTTCACAGACGGATGACGTGGACGGGGGGTGGGTGAAGTGGGGGTTAAAGGCGGGATTGAAATGTGTAGTGACGTACCGTATGGGGACTTGGAGGTGTGGGTGGTGGGGCKGGGKCSCGTGGSAGACAGAGTTTGTCGGTTGGGTGGTGGTGGTTGCAGTGCCAGATAGGGGGGGGGGGGGGGGGGGGGGGGGGGGAGGTGRCMGGTGGGTGGCCTAGGTGTTGTTGCTGTGAGGTTGAGCTCTGCAGTTGGGTGCTMWWGAGTGGGGCRYCSMGYTGTCGGGTCGGGGGTGGGGGTGGTCTTGCGACTGAGATTAGTGGTGGTGACTCTGGTGAGTGGGTGAAAGCGGTGGACAGCTGGTTTCAACTTTGGTGGAGTGGGGTTATGTGGATGGGGTGGGGGCGGGCGTAGTGGTCCCACAGGGAAGGGGGGGCCTGCCCCAGGGGCAGGGATCAGAGACCCAGGGGGGTTTGGGTGGTGGGGCGACAGGTGTGGGTTTTAGTGAGGCGGGGGGTTGGGCTGGAAGGGAACAATCGCTTGACAATGTTGGTGGACTGCGTTTTGGGCTGTGGCGAGGGGCTGTGAATGGTGATGGTGGTTCGGCCCAGTCGTCATGGACTGGGGGTGGGGCTGCCAGGGCCAGAGCTGTTGGCCTCCGGGGTGAGTTGGGGCTGCAGAGGGGTACAGATTTGCGGGTGGTGGGTGTGGGAGCTGCAGATGAGGGAAGGATTTGCGGGTTGTGGTTGCACAGTGCCCTGTGTTGGCTGCTGAGCTGGTTGCTGGGGCGGGGGGGGGTTGTGAGTTGTTTGCAGGGTGTCTGTTGTTGCTTGGCTGTGCTTGAGCAGGGGGGGGACGCACTCGGCCTTGTCCTTGTCCCCTGCCTCTTCCATGCCCTCTGGTTCGTCTGCCAGGTGGCATGGTCTCCCGGAAGCGGGGGCAGTCATGGTCAAACTCATCATGGAACCACCATAGGCACTTTTGACAGAACGGAGTGTCCTGATTCGCAAACTGGATCTGCATTGCCTGTCCAGTCGGACATCGGAGGATTACCCATTCTTTGAAGGTGTCCTTGACGATTGGGTTACAATCTATTTTAACGTTGCCTAAGAGGGTTCCTCCTCCTTTTTGTCTGGGGGATGCATGTGTATTATGGGGCCCATCAATTTCTCGACAGCATATCTGAGTGAGAACAGCGCTCCCACTGGAACTCTGAGCGCAATGATGCGGTATTTGGCAGCGGAATCTGCTTCCCGCAGCTGGTCCAGTTCTCGTTGTGCCATCCATGGGCGGAAGGTGACCTTGATTGGTCCCTCCCTGGATGGGATGAAATCGTGGCCTTTGCCTAGCATCCATTGAGGATGATTGAGCTATCTGTTGCGTGCGCGCGACGTAGGACATAACATTTGGTCCTTCGCCATGGGTGCGTCCTCTTTTCTGGGAAGGATTGAAATTGGGGTCTTGCTACCAGGCATCCTCAAAGATACGGATGAACTGTTCCCTTTGTGTGACAGAGAGGTTAGCTGCACGTGTGTCAAAGACTACTAAGACTGTTTGTTCCTTGAGCCAAGCGACGGTAGCTGCATCTACTTCGGCATTGAGGTTTATATAACCTACTCCATCAAGGATTTCTGTATCCCCATGGGAGAACGAAGTGTCAGGGAAAAGCCCGTCGTCATAGCATGAGTCTAGGAGTGTGTGGATTCGTGCTCTGTCTGCTGCCTGTGCATCCGCCTGTGGGGGGCCACTCGCGTGACCTTGGTGTGGGTTTTGGGGATCCCCCCTGTGTGGGAAATTGAATGGATGCATGGCCGGGTGAGTTGTCCTGACGGGACAGGGGGTGTGCATGGGGGGAATCAGAGTGTGTGATGCATGGCCGGTTGGTTCGGGATTGGGATGTGTGAAGGAAGAGGTATGTCAAAGTGTTGTCTACTGCTTGTAACCTCGACAGCGGGTCAGGGGGTGTGCATGGGGGGAATCAGAGTGTGTGATGCATGGCCGGTTGGTTCGGGATTGGGATGTGTGAAGGAAGAGGTATGTCAAAGTGTTGTCTACTGCTTGTCACCTCGACAGCGGGTCAGGGGGTGTGCATGGGGGGAATCAGAGCGTGTTAATGGGTGTGCAGGCGGCCAGACAGAGGGTGGGGGCTGTCTCTTATACACATCTAGATGTGTATAAGAGACAGGGATAGGGGGGAGGTTCGCAGAGAGAGAGAGTGGGTTGGCCGGGTGGTAGCTGGGTCGGGGCTTACCGGGGTGGTGTTTGGGGCGGGGATGTTATTGTGGAGGACTTGAGTGTGGTGGGTCAAGTGGGGGAGCGGTCGCTAAAGGGGGAGGGTGGTGATGTAAGGGGGGGTGGGAAAACTGGGAAGAGGGGATCTGGGCATAAGAGGGTGGGGGTTGTGGGGAGCTGTTATGGGGTAGAGGGTGGGGCTATCATGAATAACGTAGGGCTTGAGCGGGACGTGTGTGAGGGGGTGTTGAATCGGGGCTATGGTTGGTCTGGGAGTGCTTTTTAGGGACAGGGGGAGGGTCAGCGTGGTAGGGGAGCTTGTTGGGCGGGCAGGGGACTGCGGTGGGATGACAGGTGTCGGGGCCTCGGGGGAGGGCCG